GATGAGAATTTGAAGGAATGGCAGAAGGGCATAAATAAGTTTGTGTGGGCAGGGAAGAAACCACGAGTCAAACAAAAGATATTGCAAGATACTAGAGAAAGAGGTGGTCTTAAGATGCCCAATTTAAGATTGTATTATGAAGCTGCTGCCCTCTCAGCAATCACAGATTGGATAAACTTAACGGAGGAAAAGATATTGAATATTGAAGGATATGGTTTGGTTTATGGCTGGCATGCTTACTTAGTGTATGATAAGAAAGTAGATAAGACTTTTAAAAGTCATATATTAAGAAATGCTCTATTGCGCGTCTGGAAAAAGTATAAATATAAACTAAATGATAGGTTACCAATATGGACAGTACCCAGACACGCGATAGAGAACATAAATTTAGAGCAAAAGCAAGATAAGATTACATATAAGGAACTCCTTTATAAGGAAGGAGTCAGACTACAGTTAAAATCCATGGAACAATTAAAAGAAGAAGGGACTATTAAGACTTGGTTTCAATATGGACAGCTGCTGGCTAGATGGAGAGAAGATCAAAAAATTGGTATTTTGCAGCAGGATGAGAATTTGATAAAGCAAATAAGAGATGAAGGTCAAATGCACATAAAAAGGTTGTACAATGCATTATTGGAAATAGATTCAGAAACAGACTTAGTCAAGGGTTGTATGATAAAATGGGCACAAAATGTAGGTGAACCAATAATGATGGAAACATGGGAAAAGATATGGGTTAGAAATGTAAGATTTACACAAGCACAAAATTTAAGGGAGAATTTTTACAAAATGTTTTATAGATGGCATTTAGACCCAAAAAAACTAGCTTGTATGTATCCAAATTTACAACCCAAGTGTTGGCGATGTGAGTGTGAAGATGCTACATATTTTCATATATGGTGGACATGTAAAAAGATCAAGGCTTTTTGGATAAAAATATGGTGGATTATTCAAAATATTTTGAAGAAAAAAATTAAATTTACACCACAGTTTTTTCTGTTGGGAATAGTTACGGATTGTACTGTAATAGAGACTAAGCTGGTTTTGAACTTAATAACAGCTGCCAGATTACTGATGGCACAGTACTGGAAGAAGGAAGATCCACCTACTATTGAGGAATGGACATTAAAAGTTGTGCATTTGGCGGAAATGGCAAAAATTTCATCATACCTTAAAGACCATTCAAATGAGAGATATATATCGGAATGGAGAAAATGGATTGATTACATACAGAAGAAGTATCCGAATAAGAAGATTCATATAGCTTATGAATGAAATAATATTAAGTAGTTTATGTTTGTTTTCTTTTGAGTTATAAGGAGTTAAGGACCTAGGGAGAATATGAAATGTAATAATTTGTTAGCACATTTTAGTTCTTGGTTTGTGAATGCTATACCCTGTGCTCGTTCTGGGAAGTCTAGGGAGGGGGGTGGGGGGAGGGAGGGGAAGGGAGGGTGGGAAGGGGAGGGGGGGTTGAGGGGGGAAGGGTGGGGGGGTGAAAATGTTTGTATTTTTCATAAAACTTTTCAATAAAAAAAAAAAAGTCGAGGACTGCCTGTAACTGACCTGGGTGGGGAAAATAAAACCTTTTAAGGCTCCTGCCTTTGTCCAAGTTCTGGCTGTAAGGAGCGCATTGATTTGCTCAATTTATATATGATTCTCAGCATCATCAAAACCATAATTCCCAGCCTTTACGCAATCTAATCAAAGGTGAATAAAATTTCAAACCAGGGTGCCAATCTAAGGCAACTTTCAAGGCCTCCGATTTAGTTTTAATAGTTACGCTTTATGTTATTTGAGTTGAGTTTCTGTAGGAAATTAAAGAAAAAATATAGAAATAAATAAAATGCTTTCAGCTTCTGCATTTGCTGCTTAAGCTTAAAAAACCCCATATCTATCCAGCTTTCTTCTTCTCCTTTATTAAAGTACCTAATGCTAAAGTTTCCCACAAGGATTCTCCACAGCTGGAGGTGCAGCCCCCCTCAGGGAGACCCAGTCAATGCCTTTCTTCACTTCATGGAAGTTATATTTCCACTTGGGACAGAATTCTTTCCTTTGCCTTTAAAGGGCTGCATTGTCGCTCTGAGGCCAGACCTGAATGGGAAGCAGCAGCCTCCAAGCAGAAGAAATGGAGCATGTGGGACAGAGGAATTTCAACCCTTAACATGCTCCAAACTGGGTTCTGGGGGGAGGAAATTCCAAAGGGCCACAGAGGGTGTTGGGGTCTATTGGGGTGAATGGGGAGGTCTGCAGGGGCCACAGACACCCCCCCCCAAGGAATACCCCCCCCCCCGTGGCCTTCTTTCCACCTTCCTTCCTTCTCCCCATCAGTCCTGAGTCTTCGGAGAGGGGCGGCATACAAATTGAATAAATAAATAAATAAATTTATTTATTTATAAGAGCCTTGGTGGCGCAGTAGACTAAAGCACTGTTAAGTAACACCAGCTGCCTGCAATTACTGCAAGTTCGAATCTCACCAGGCTCAAGGTTGACTCAGCCTTCCATCCTTTCGAGGTAGGTAAAATGGGGACCCAGTTTGTGGGGGCAATAAGCTGACTTTGTATAAAAAAGAACACCACTTGGGGGGGGGGGCAAAGCCCTACGAAGCAGATATATACAAAAGTATGAAGGCTATTGCTTAATGGATTGTAAGCCACTCTGAGTCTCCGGAAAAGGGCGGTATATAAATCGAACCAATAAATAAATAAATAAATTCAGGCACTTTGGTGGAAAGAGGTTTTCCTCCTCTGGACCAAAAAGACTTGGGTATCTGATATTTCCATAAATTCTGTACCGGACAGCCTCTCTCCTTCCCAGCTGCCCCGTCTGCCTCCGATGTCCCACCTCCCAAAAGAAACCTCCCAGGAAATGAAGGGAAGCCAGTCAGTTTTATGAAAGGAGTGGGCCAGAGCATCCAGGATAGAGAAGAGAGGGAGGGGAGTTGGTGGGTTGAGAGGGAGCTGAGTGATCCACTTGATCCCTTTAACCTTGGACAGAGAGATAGTCAAAGATCACCTCTAGTGCCTGCAGCAAACTTCTTCAGTCTTCATGGTGTTCAGATAAGAGGCCAGTTAAACATCCCTTCCCTTCCCTTTGTTTTCTCCTCCCTGTCTCCCTCCTTCCCTCTCTCCTTCCCTCCCTCTCTTTGTCCTTCCCTCCTACCAACACCCCCCTCTTATTCCCCCCCCCGAAGTCATTTAGCACTTTGAGAAGATTCTGTGTGCTCAGTTCCCCTGGGAGCCTTGGGGGGCTTCCCTCCGTCTTTCATTTTCTTTTTTTATTCCACAGACTTTGCCTGAGACCTCCCAGGATCTCTACCTGGGCTTGCAACCCCTTCCTCCTGGAAGGCCCAGAGCTGCCAAGGGGCACCCCTGTCCTCTCCCCACAGCTGGGCCAAAGGTTGTGACATCGTAGCCCGTGTCATAGAAGGTCTCCTGGGCTGCTCTGGGTCACCCAAGGGGTTGAGTGCTGAAGGCATTTCCTCTGTGACAATGGCAGGCAATTTCCTACAACGGATGAGAATGAAGAGGAAGTTCTCAAATAGAGGTAGGATGAAATTAAAGAGAGGCTTATTATAACACTTAACTTTAGCAGTTAGAATAGTCATTACTCAACCCTGTAATGAAAAGGAAGGGAAAGTCTACAAATAGAGGTAGAATACAATTAAAAAACAACACTATCTCCTTAACTTGAGCAGGAAGGGTGAAGAGTTTAGATGCCAGAAGTATCAGCTGGCTCCTAATATTGGGGAATAAAGAACCCAGATCAAACTGTGGCTGAAAAAATGAATGTCTTTAATCGCAGTCAATAAGTTTGTGTTTTTAAAGAAGTCTATTTTTTTCCCCAGTGGTACCAGAAGAGACGCTGGACTTGGGCTTATGGAGGCACACGGAGGTATGTAATATATAGTTCCAACCCATCTATAGGACCCAGGGTGCCTGTGTTAACTGGGCTTGGGGGTCTCCCTCGTGTCCAGGCCCAACGTCCTCATGACCTCCATGGCTTTTCAGCAGAAGGCTTCAGGTGCCGGCCAGCTGCCCCCCATCCAACAAGGGCCTCCTCCTCAGCGGTCCATCACCCCCCGCCCCCCTCAGGTAAGCAGTCTAAATCTTCTGGGGAATGGTCTAAGTGTCCGTTACTAAGGATGGCAAATTTTCACATTATCCTTTTATTATGTGAACGAATCAGGCTGAGACAGTGGTGAAATCCAAATTTTTTTACTACCAGTTCTGTGGGCGTGGCTTTGGTGGGCGTGGTGTGGCTCAGTGGGCGTGGCTTGGTGGGCGTGGCAGGGGAAGGATACTGCAAAATCCCCATTCCCTCCTCACTCCTGGGGCCAGCCAGAGGTGATATTTGCTGGTTCTCTGAACTGCTCAAAATTTCCGCTACCGGTTCTCCAGAACCTGTTAGATTTCACCCCTGGGCTGAGAGATCAATTCTCTCACAGAGCAAATAATGCTTCCCTGTGAGCCTGGTGACTTTGGTGGCTTAGAAGATGTGGAGACCAAGGCTGTTGCTGTAAGAGGCACCTGAAGAAATGTCAGAAACCCCCTACTCAACAGCTGAACTCCATGGGGGCTTGAGCAGAGTCCCCTTAATGGATTTTTCACATATTTAATGACTACTATTTAACATCAATTTTTTTCCTTCAAAGTTTTCTATTGTGGAGGTTTTATAGACCGCAGACTTATCCGCTTACAAATGCACCAAACAGGCGAGCCAGAAGAGTTTAAAACAAACTAGTTTAATAAAAGCAAAGAAAACAAAATCTACAAAGAACATCAGTAATGATCTCCCTCTCAGCCATGTCCATTCAGCTCTCTTTGCAGTTGCTCCATGTGGTTGGAGCCCAGGATCTTCCTTCCTGAGAAGGAGACTAAGTGACTGCAGCTCTTGTGTGGGACCGGGGAGAGTAGTAAGAAAGCAATGTGCCATGTGCCATGTGTGCTCTCAGCAGCCAGAGCAGCTCCTTATAGGCCGAGTGAGTGTCAGTTACAAAGCCCGGGAAACTCAGAGTCAACAGCTGCGCTCTGATTGGCTCATTCAAACGTTCAAACCAGAAACCAATCAAAGCCAATCAATAGGCACAGCAAACCATGAGAGAAGTTTTCTCTCACAACTTCAGTTTGTTTTTCGACTTGAATTGTACATCTTATACGTTATGTTAAAGGAGGAAGTACTCTGAAGGGATTTATCTTGGTCTGATTTTTTTCTTTTACATTTCCAAAACCTGGCCTTTTAATAGGGGTGTGTAGACTTTCTTTGCTAAATACTGAAGTAAAAACTTAAGTAATCCAACTCTTATAAACAACTCTTATCAACACATTAAACCTTAATATTTAAGTCACTAATCCAATCCCTTAAGACTACCCTGGAGGTGTATCTAAAGTCCCTCAAACTGTACCCATTGGCCATTTTTACGGAGCCTTTATAAAAGACCCAATAAATGGTGAAAGGATTGTTGGTAGAAATAGCAAGACTGAATTTATACACCGACACAAACATAAAGGTATTTTTAATATTTTTCAATGGAAGAAAATGTTTGATGAGTCAAGTAAAAAACTTAAGGGTCTAATTTCTCTCTGGTTTTCCTATTTACAGCAACAGAAAGCACAAGTCGTTCTCCCTGACTGAGGAGCTCCTGAGTAAAAATGCCCAGCTTTCGGAGAAGAACGAAGAACTCTGCAGGGAGGTGGAGGAGAAACTGCGGAGGTGAGAAACCCTGACTTTCTCTTCCAGGATTTCCTCTTCAATTCTCCTTAGCTCCCTACCCTGGACACACATTACACAACGTTCTGCGTTGAATTACGTTGCCTGGATGGGTGGGAGACATCATGAATCTCTTGACAGGGACTTTTCCTGGCCAAATCCTCTGAATTTAGGAGGTCCCTGCTTTGATCTCCTCCTCTGCTGCTCACTGACCTCAGTTCTCGGCTCCCCCTCGGCTCTCCCCAGTTCAGTCTTCTCCCCCTTCTGTCCCCATTAGAAAGTTTGGAAATTGTTTTGAATTTTCTGGTATGAAAGCCAAAAAAGGGGGAAAAAAGGTTTTAAGATCTGAAGATTCCTTTATGGCAAAACTCAAGTAATTAAAAAGTAAGGCTGGGTAAAACAAAGGAAGTGCCAGGCGTTTTAGTTAGTTTTCATTTTAAAAGGGTTTGATGATTCAAGGGAAGACCTGAGGGGGCTCATTTCCCTCTTGTCTTCCTATTTTACAGAATCCAGATGTTGGAACTCCGAAACCTCCATCTCCACTGCAGGGTTCTGACGGAAGCTGGAGCGAAGCAGGAGCTCCTCAGGGAGAACGAAGAGCTGCGGGAACAACTGGAGAGGTAAGAAATACCGTGTTTCCCCGAAAATACGACCTTCCCCGCAAGCAGTTGTTGTTGTGGCTAAGCTAGTAAGTAAGAATCTTTGGCTGCTTCTCCGCATTGACCTCTCCACGTCTCCTTCTTCCAGAGAGAAACAATGGAGGGAGCGTTTCCTGGGAGAAAGAGAACGGCGGGAATCCCAGTAAGATCTGGGAGGAGATCTCGCAGGATCAAAAGAGATCTGAGGCAGCCTCCAAGGACCTCTAAGACCTTCAAGTAGCTCCTCCTCCTATTCCTCCTCCTCCCCTCCCCCTCCGGGACCCATTCTCTGTCTCCACCACATCCTGGCAACACCAAAAAGCCTCTGAGAACCAGGCAAAAAGTGCACCCTATTTTTTCCATGACTTTTGGAGGTTCTGTACAGGATCATGGACCCAACTTCCAGAGGGTTTGTAGGCCCTAGGAGACCCTCCCTCATTCTTCTGCTGCTGGATAACTTGTAAGAAGGTTCAAAGAAGAAAGAACTGAAGGACTGAAGAGGAATGCTTTTGTAAAGTCGATTTGATCCTTTGAAATTTATTTTGTAATGTAAATAGAGATCTGGATTTGGAATACCCCTCAAGATCTTTTTTTAATTCCTTCAATTCTGCTATTGGTTCCTGCTTTTTAATATGCCTCAGTGTTGATTTTAATTCTAAGAGATTTGAGGGTTTTTTAGTTGTTAATTCTTGGGGGCATAAACTGTCAGTATTTTAATTTTTCTTGTTCTCTTTAATGCTTTTGGCCTGTGACCGTAATAAATGTTGAGTTGAGTTGAATTGAATTGAATTGAATGGCTCTTTAGACCTGATTCCTTCAGGATCCTTCATTAGTCCTGGAAAGTCTTGAATGACCAGACTGTCCAACAGTGGTTCCTGTCTGCACTCTCGTCTGACCACTTGACAAGTCTGCAGCAGAAGAAAGACCCCAAAGCAATGGGATTGTTGTCATGGAAGGACAGGCCTGTTTTGACCCTTCCCCCTCCCCACTCTGGACCCCCCTCCCCAGCCAGGACATCTACACCAGTGAAAAGCAGCTCTTGGATTCCATGGAGAAGATACGGTTGGATCTATCACTCCCCACTCCGTCTGCCAAAGAAAGAAACACACACAGGGACCTGTGGGGCTTTGTAGGGTCCCACTAATGTGGACATCTGGATGGAGATGTCCATCCTGTCAGCTGCATCCAGAGGAGCCAAAGGGAGTGGTCCTTCCTCCCACAACCGTCCCTGGGAACAGGGGCTCCTCCAGTAGAGAGCACGTCCAGCAAGGCCTCTGAAGGGCCAAGTGGATTCTCTTAGTTGTCAGGGAGGTTGTGGCCAAGTGTGAGATTGTGCAGGAGCTGGGGATCCTTACTGACCATTTGTACAGCAAATATACACCATAGTATATTAAAGTCACTGATAGAGAAGCTCTTTTACACAAAATGCTCATGTTATTCTTATATCATCATGAATAGAAGCAAGAAAATCCTTTTTTTTCCAATTTAATCCTCTTTGTCTCCACCAGCTGACTGAGTCTCAAGCCAACCCAGATCCAAAACCAGAGGCAAATGACAGTTACTCATCACCTTGACATTGAATGAGTGTTGAGAAGGTGGGATGGAGATAGTTCTCCACCAGAGTTAAGAGTCACAAACAAACCATTATTTGTAGAAGGACTAATTTTTCTCTGGCCATTAAAGGGAATTCAAAATAATTCAATCCTTAAAATAGAACTATCATAAAAGGAAGAAGGTTTTTTTTTAATGTGAGAAACATTTACCAATTCTAAAAAAAACCCTCATTTGTTTCTATAGGGATCAGGAATTGTGTATCAATCAGCAGCTACAAAAATATGGGACTGGGCTGTGCAGGGGCCATTACAACTGTTTCAATCACTACTTTAAACAAAAGTTAGCATTCAAGTGATGAGCTCAAGTTTGGATGGAGAGAGGGAAATAATCTGGAGTTGTTAAGGTTTGTATTCCGTCCCATCTTTGGATTTCAGCGACTTCCACAAAATAAGATGAAAAGAGAGAAGCTTTGGAAATCCAGACCATTCAGGAAATTAGACAGGTCCGTCAATACAGGAGTAAGTGAAATAAAGAGAAAAGAAGGAAAGTGTTAGGAATGCAAACAGAGAAAAGGAAACTCCAGCACAGGGAATGACTTAGGAATGAACAAGGAGGAGCCTGGTTGGAAGTCCGTGTTGTATGCGATCTTCTTGTTCAACTACTGTACTGTGGGTGGGAGCGGCAGATATGGCGGGAGCAGGGGGCCACATCAATGCTCCCCTCGTTCCCCAGGTTGCACAGACCCTCAGGCCCTGGGCCTTTGGCTGATGCTGTGCAACGCCCGGTCCGTGGTAAATAAAGCCCCCCTCATTTGTGATCTTGTTCAGGAGGGGGGAGCGGACCTGGCGGGTATTACAGAGACCTGGTTGGGCCAGGAGGGGGGGTCCCCCTCATTGAGATGTGCCCACCTGGTTTCCGTGCATTCCATCAGCCGAGGACACAGGGGAGGGGCGGGGGGGGTGGCGGTTGTCATTAGAGAAGGTCTTGGTCCGAGGGAGGCCACTGTTCCTCAGACGGCTGGTTGTGAGTCCCTCCTTGTGAAGTGGGGTCATGGGGTGCAGATGGGTGTGCTGGTTACGTACCTGGCTCCCTGCCACGTGACGGCAGCCCTGCCCGAGCTGCTCAACGTTATAGCCGCGGTGGCGGTTGACACCCCCAGGCTTATGGTCATGGGGGATTTTAACGTGCCATCCGTCGGTGAGGCGTCTGAGGTGGCTCGGGAGTTCATGGCTTCCATGACGGCTATGGACCTGACCCAGTTAGTTCATGGCCCTACTCACACGGGGGGAAACACGCTAGACCTGGTTTTTGTCTCTGGTCAGTGGTTGAGTGATCTTGAGATAGGGGATATAGTGATCGAGCCCTTGTCATGGTCAGATCACTCCCTCCTTCGCTTTGACCTTCGAACCGCCGCACCCTGCCGCAGGGAGGCGGAACCATTGAGGTGGTACCGCCCCAAGCGCCTGATGGATCCTGATAGGTTCCAGACGGAGCTTGGGCCATTTCCTGAGGCTCTGGCACACGGCTCAACTGAGGAGCTGGTGGCCGCCTGGGATAGGGCAGCCGCTGGAGCTTTGGATCGGGTCGTGCCTTTGCGGCCTCTGACCCGGCGTCAATCTCGCCTGGCTCCTTGGTTCACCGAGGAGCTGAGGGAGATGAAGCGCCGGAAAAGATGCCTGGAGAGTGGTTGGAGGGCCAGCCATTCTGAATCTGACCGAACACTGGTAAGGTCTCATATTAAGACCTACCTGGTGGCGATAAAAGTGGCGAAGTATAACTATTTTGCCACTCTTATTGCGTCATCAGATAATCGCCCGGCTGCCCTGTTTAGGGTGACCCGCTCCTTGCTCCACCAGGAAGCGCGGGAGGACCCCTTGGAGGGTAGAGCCGAGGATTTTGTACAGTATCTGTATGACAAAATCGCTCAGATTCGGGAACATCTGGACTCTGACTGGGTAGATTCAGCGGGGAGGACAGAGGCAGGTCTTGTGAGTATTATCTGGGAAGAGTTTGATTCTGTGACGCCCGAAGACGTGGACAGGATACTGGGCAGACTGAGCGCAGCCACATGTTTACTGGACCCGTGTCCCTCCTGGTTGGTGCTGGCCTCTCGGGAGGTTACACGAGGCTGGCTCCAGGGGATTATAAATGCTTCCTTGAGTGAGGGTGTCTTCCCTGCCACCTTGAAAGAGGCGGTGGTGAGGCCTCTCCTCAAGAAACCTTCCCTGGACCCGGCAGTGTTGGCAAATTATCGTCCAGTCTCCAACCTTCGCTTCGTTGCGAAGGTTGTTGAGAGTGTGGTAGCGCGACAGCTCCCCCAGTACCTGGATGAATCGTCGTATCTGGATCCGTTCCAGTCGGGCTTCAGGCCTGGGTACAGCACGGAAACGGCATTGGTCACGTTGGTTGATGATCTCTGGAGGGCTCGGGACAGGGGTTGTTCCTCTGTCCTGGTCCTATTAGACCTCTCAGCGGCTTTTGATACCATCGACCATGGTATCATGCTGCACTGGCTAGAGGAATTAGGGGTGGGGGGCACCGTCCTACGGTGGTTCTCCTCCTTTCTCTCTGACCGGTCGCAGTCTGTGTTGACAGGGGGGCAGAGGTCGACCCCGAGGCCCCTTGTATGTGGGGTGCCACAAGGGTCGGTCCTCTCGCCCCTTCTGTTCAACATTTATGTGAAGCCGCTGGGTGAGATCATCCATGGTTTCGGGGTGAAGTACCACCAGTACGCTGATGATACTCAGCTGTACATCTCCAGCCCGGACCACCCCAATGATGCCCTTGAAGTGATGTCCCGGTGCCTGGAGGCCATGCGGATCTGGATGGGGAGAAACAGACTCAGGCTCAACCCATCCAAGACCGAGTGGCTGTGGTTTCCGACATCCCGATATAGTCAGTTGGTGCCATCACTGACTATTGGGGGCGAGTCACTGGCCCCCACGGAGAGGGTTCTTTAGAAGAGCACATGACGGCCGTGGCCAGGGGGACTTTTTATCAGGTCCGCCTGATTCGCCAGTTGCGTCCCTTTCTGGATCGGGACTCGTTAAATACGGTCACTCATGCTCTCGTTACTTCCCGCTTGGACTACTGCAATGCTCTCTACATGGGGCTCCCCTTGAGGAGCACCCAGAGGCTCCAGCTGGTCCAGAATGCGGCCGCGCGGGTGGTTATGGGAGCGACGTGGCGCTCCCATGTGACCCCCCTCCTGCGCGAACTGCACTGGCTCCCGGTGGTCTTCCGGGTGCACTTCAAGGTTTTGGTTACCACCTTTAGAGCGCTCCATGGCATCGGACCGGGGTATCTACGAGACCGCCTTCTGCTACCAATAGCCTCTCACCGACCAGTACGCTCCCATAGAGAGGGGCTCCTCAGGGTGCCGTCGGCCAAACAGTGTCGACTGGCGGCCCCCAGGGGGAGAGCCTTCTCTGTGGGGGCACCTACCATCTGGAACAAGCTCCCCCCAGAGATACGGAAGATCCCGGACCTGCGCACGTTTCGCCGTGCTCTCAAAACTTTTCTATTTCAGCAAGCTGGCCTGGCCTAACTCCCATCTTTTAAATTTTTAAATTTTTTAATTCGTGATTTTACAAATTGGGTGTTTTAATCTGTGTTTCGGCCGAAATATTTAATAATTTTAAGGGATTTTTTAATATTTGTATTATCTGTATTTTATCTTGGCTGTTCACCGCCCTGAGTCCTTCGGGAGTAGGGCGGTATAGAAATTTGATTAATAAATAAATAAATAAATAAATAAATAAATAAATAAATAAATAAATAAACTGAGGATTCTCCCCATGAGATGGTCTCCTGGCCTGGAAGAGCTTCCCCTTCAGCCTCTCCCATCTCGGAAGGCCCAGGAGAAGCTCCGGGTATTTGGGAGGCCGTTGCCTGGAGGGGATGAGATCTCCCTGGACCAAATTCTCTCCCTCCGACATTCGAGGCTCTTTTCCATATATATATATATGTAAACCACCAAAGACCAGATTGACCCAGACTCCATACTCACAAACACTAGAAACTTGAATTTAATTTGGGTTTTTTGTCTCTCCCTTCAATGGCAGGGGTGAGATTTTTATTTCAGAAATAGGAAAGCTTATACATTTTTTTATCAAAATAAAGAAAAATTCTAAATTGTAAATCCTTTCAACCTGTGCAAAAAGTAATGTTAACATTATAACTATTTTAGCTATTTTCTATAAGCTGTTTGATGACACTATTTTTT